AATAAACACCCTCCCGCAATCGTAAAGGTAGTAACACGAACGTTGCGATTGAAAATTCGCACTTTGTTGAAGCCGTGATAATCTACCCCGGTGAAATTGCATTTAAAATTTTTAATAATTAGAACATATCTTTTTCGAACTCACCAGTCATTAATCATTTTCAAACTTCCATATATAACATTACAACGAGAACGTCTCTTCTTCTCGAACTCGTTGTCTTTTGGTTTTTCCAGAGCAAAACCGAACTCCAATCTAATATTAGTTTTTCACAGTAAACCACAATCAAATTTCTTATTGGTTTTATTTTGGATCAAAACTAAACACAAATTCAGAGGAGCAAAATCATGCTCGAATTAGATCACCAACCATGCCTCATGACACAAGGAGCAAAATCTCGTTCTCAAAGAAGCCACGCATGATGTAACCTTCAGTATCTCAAAGGCACTGTACTTGCACAGCGGAAGTATTTAAAAATAAATAAATAAAATTATGAAGCTTTGAATCCCAACGGTGGGTTTAATTTTTTAACGCACCGATAAGTGGAAATTTTTTTCAATGTTCTGTCAAGATGTAACTTGCTCTTAATACCATGACAAATTAGAATGAATTTATTATTGAATTACTTATGAGAGAATAGCTTGAATTGTATTGATGATCTTGGCTACTATTTATAGCTTACAAAAGATAACCTACACAATATAAAACTCTATCATATAAAAATCCATAAATCTATCTTAGATTATCACTAAGATATATTATTATCCTACATATAATATATCATAAGATCTATATGGAAAATATTTCACAATAATATAGTTTACTATATTCCTAAAATAAATAAAAGTCATACGACATTTACAAAGAGATTTATTTAGATCTAACAAATAAATAATAAATGAATCAAATAGAAACAGTATCCACCTTCTAATCGTCACTCAATTGGCATACTTGGACAAGTACATGATCACCTTCTGATCTTCACTCAATTGGCATACTCGGAAGTACTGCTCCATGTCGAAGAGGAAGTTATTTACTTCTTTAGCATCTACGGCGCCACTGTAGTCGCGAGGTTTGGGCGGCTTGATCTTCGTCGCACCAACTTCAAGTGTGTCTCTGCCCACAGCGCACATTAGGATAGTACATTTCTCCCGTGCTTCATCGGCTTGCCCTTGAACAAATTGCAATTGTCCGTAGAGAGCATCTCTCTCTTCCATCAATTTCACAATTTGCTCGGCTTGCTTGTGCACAATGACTTGGAGCTGGGACCATTTGTCCGCTTTCGTCTAGAGCCAACCAAGTCTTTCATCTATGGATTCCATCTTCGTGTAGCCTTCCTTGGTGCCTACACGAGTTGCTTGCGACGAGGTTTGGTTCTCGTCTTTGATACCAACTGTCAGGGTCCGGAAGTTTGGACCACAAAATGTGCGGCGCGCTCTAGTCTTTTGGTGGCAAGAACACTAGCCTTGAGCGGAAGTGGGGCTTGTGAGCACAAAGCCACACAAGCGGGAAATTAAATCAAAGGAGCACTCGCGTCTATTTGGCGATGGAGTGCGGGTGGTCGGGACTTGTGACGGCCAATACTTCACGGAGGGCACAAGGGGGTCCGAACCACGAGTTCTTAGTGCATCAAGTTGGTTTGGAGGGGAGTTATTATGCAAGTAAGACATAATATCTATAAAGGTCTAACAACAAACAAGCATAAAATGAAGCCAACACTTGGTAGAAGGCTTAAGATTTCATTTATCATTCACCCTCTAAAGAGCTTTAATTTGATTCCAAGGAGAATCTCTAGTGAACCCTGAACTGACAGTAACACAATAATGGGACCTCAAACTAAGAAAACATAAACTAAACTCTAAGAAAGCATCTAAAGGGAATCTAATACATCAAAAGGAGTTGGATTCCAACACATTTCCATCATTAGAGATGAAAATGAAACATTTATAGAAGAGGTTCATGACTAGAAGCTAATCTAGAGACTCCCTAGCATGTACCTCAGAGAATTAACTTTTTTTATTTGGTTGGCGGTGAAAGGATAATGACCAACGAAAATAGGTTCATAAGATCCTTAACTGATGATCCGCGATGCAAGATGTGTGGTGCAAATGAGGAATCGAAATTCCACAAACTAAAAGACTGCCTACTGCTCGCATAATTTGGTAGAAATTAGGGGAAGATATGTGTTTAATTCAACTGCTAATTCAATGCTAAAATGGGTTTTGGAGAACATCAAAAGTGAAGATTCGTTAAAAGGGGAGAAATGGCCTAGAGTGTTTGTTGTGGTGTGTTTATGGCTATGGCGGTGGTGCAATGAAAGAAACTTCAACAATGATCCAAGGATTCCAGTAGATCAAGTTAGCTTTATTTTGCTCAATTTGGCTTGATAAAACAAGCGATGGAGAAGGAAAGTTTGCTGCTAAGTCAGAGAAACAAAAAACAAAAGGAGTATATCTATATTAGATGAGTGCATCCTGACATAGGGTGGGTGAAACTCAACAGTATACTGATGGCGTGGCAAAGGGCAATCCTAGAGCACTAGGTTGGGGTGTTTTATTAAAGATAGCTCAAGGGAGTTGTTCAAGTGTTTTGCGGTTAAGTGTGGAATATGCGTGCACTTGTACCAAAACTGAGTTGATGGCTATTATGAGAGGATTACAGATAAATTGGGATGGTGGCATCAAAAGTTTCATATTTTGGTGGATTATTCTAAGGTTATTGCTAACATGTTGGTGGATGAAATTCCGACTAACTCTCCCTACATACATATGTTTCGTAGGTGTAAGACGATTATGGATTGCAGGGATTGGGAAGTAGTTGTGTCTCACTGTTATAGAGAAGTAAATTGTGCGGCGGATTGGCTTGCAAACTATGGGGTGACGGCGGAGCAAAACATAGTCATGTTTGGGACGATCCCAAAGCATTTTTGTGTAGTTTTATTGGAGAATTTGGGAGGTGTTACTCTTCTTTGTATGGTGCCGAGCAACAATAATAAAGGGCCTTAGGGGTTACCCGAGTTTTTTTTGTCAGGAGTTCCTCGACTTTTATTGTTAGGGGTTACCCGAGTTATTCAGTTAGGGGTTACTTGAGTTACTCGGTCATGGGTTACTTGAGGGGTTCGGACAGGGGTTACTCGAGGGCTTCACTCGGTCAAGGGTTACTCGATCAGGGGTTAAAATTAGTCGGTCAAGGGTTACTCGAGTTACTCAATCAGGGATTACTTGGTCAGAGGTTACTCGATCAGGGGTTACTTGGTAAAGGGTTACTCAAACTCAGAGGTTATCTAAGGAGTTCGCGTCAATGGTTACTCAAGTAATTCTATCAGAGATTACTTAAGGAGTTCGGTCAGGATTTACTCGGTCAAGCGTTACTTGAGAGTTAAGTCAAGGGTTACTCAGTCAGGGGTTACTCGACGAGTTTGATCATGGATTACCCGAGCGATTTTTTGATTAGGGTTTACTTGAGGGGCTACTCGGTCAGGAGTAACTCAAGTAACCCCTGACCGAGTAACTTAAGTAATAACCCTAGCAATTCGAGTAACCCCTGATCAAGAAACTAGATTAACCCTAATAGCTCGAGTAACCCCTGACTGAGAAGCTCGAGTTACCCCTAAACGAGAAATTCTAGTAACCTAGGCAACTCGAGTAGCCCCTGACCGAGAAACTTGAGTAACGAACCCTGAAACTGGAATAACCCCTGACCGAGAAACTTGAGTAACCTAGGCAACTCGAATAACCACCAAACGAGAAACTCGAGTACCGAGAAACTCGAGTAACCCCTGCCGCATAGTACAGCTGGTTGTATACAAAATATGTTTGTAAATTTTAATGTAGTGCTCTATTATAAATTAGATTCATAATGTTCTTTTTAATTATAAGTCATATGATCTGCTATCCGGGTGTACTACGGGTGCACGAACCACCGATTGGAGTGAAGTATTTGTATGGGTAGATATTTACATTAGACCGATGTTGTATGGTAGGCCGATATCTTACTCGGATCCGATTCACCAGCTATTCTGGTTCATATCGGCATTTATGGAATGAGTGTGCATATCGGCTTGTCGGCGACTAACACGTGTTATCCTCAAATTTGATACGTGGAGAAAATTACTTTGCATATTCCGCAGCCAACTGTCACTTAATCAAGCTATAAATAATTAGGTTTTACCTCATAAGAAAGGTAGCATTTATTACACTATCTCTCTCTTCTTTCTCTCTCTAAATTCACTCTCTTCTTTTCATCTTCTAAACACTTACTGACTTAATCATCGGAGTGGTTATCCCTTGATTCACCCCGCGGCTAGCTAATCTCTTTTATGTGTGTAGGTTCTCATATGGCTGATAGGAGCAAAGCGGGTTATATACTCGAGCTTTGGATCTTGGAGTTGGGTCATCGGATCTTTGCAGAAACAATTGGCGCTAGGAGAGGAGCTACATAATAGCTTCTATCGCCTAAAGACCCTTACATCTTCCGATTTCAAAAAAAAAATGCCAGAAAATCAGAATACATCGGTAGCTGAAAAAATAATAAACCAAAGAGTAAGAGTAGGGGATAGAATACCTGATCTAGAAATTCAGATTGAAGACGAAACTCATACTCTAGAGGGTAACTAGTTTCATATGCCGCTAACCCTAGAAGGACAGGCTGGGACGGATGCAGATCCTATGGCTGGGTTTACATCAGAAGAACTAGAAACGGCGGCAAGAGTGATGACCGTCATGAGTAGAAAAAGGAAGGAAGCGGGGGCAACCCAAGATGGAGGAGGGGTGCCGATTATAACTCATGACAGTCAGTTCAACCAGGCTGGAGGTTCACAAAGACGCCGACATGAAAGGTCACCGATAAGATCACAGCAGACTCCCAGAGAATCAGAAGTTCAATCCTCAGGTCCAGATGAAAGTACAGGGACTTATCAGCAAGGAGTGGTGCGAACAGTAGTCTAGTTGAGGGCATCGCTGTTTGCGCAGAGTATCCTTGATCAACTAATGGAAAAAATCAAAATGCCGACATGTCGGTATGATGGAAAGGGAGATCCTGGTAGATATATAACCTCATATGAAGGGCATATGATTTTATATACCAATTCTAATGTCGTATGGTGTTAAGTGTTCCTGACTACTCATGTTGGGGCAGCGGCAGATTGGTTCAATAATCTCGGAAATGGAACAATTCATAACTTCCAGCAGTTGGTTGAAATATTTGTGGGACAATATGTCAGTATCAGTGTCCAACAGAGATCCTCAGGGGAGTTGATGGTTATTAGTCAAAAAGAAGATGAGTCTCTAAGGGACTATATAAGGAGATTTAATAATGAAGCGAATACAATCCCAAAGTTACAACAGGAGATAGCAGTCATGGCGCTAATGAATGGTTTGAATGACTCAGAATTTAAAAGGTACTTAACAAGGAAGAATCAGCCAACATTAGCTGAGGCGTTCAACAAAGCTCATGACTATATAAAGAGCGAAGAATTGATGAAAACAAGCAGTCGGGTTAGTTCCACCGATAGGATTCACCTGATGTTGGAAGGAGGATCTTCGGGAAGTGGGAGGCCGAGAAATCCAGCCCTAGAAAGGGGAGGAGGCCGCCAGGAAGTTATAGGAAATAAAGCGCCAATGCGGTATAATTCGTATACACCGCTAAATGCACCAAGGGCTGCAATATATTCTGTAAACCAGAATCGAGAAGGATGGGTAAGACCCATGCCGATGAAAGCAAAAGGAAGGGATACCAAGAAGTATTGTATGTTTCACCGAGATGTGGGGCATTATACTGAAGATTGTGTACAGTTGAAATATAATATTGAAGAATTAATAAGAAGGGGACATCTCGCTCAATACCGGCTGCATTCGGGGGGAAGTCAACCACCATTGTATCGGCAGCCAAAGCGTCAGCAGATAGAAGCCAGGCCAAAGAGGCAAGGGCAAGTAAGCCGACAAGGAGATAGCGGGCAACCACCATCGTCCACTGGAAAAAGAGTTGATGTAATAACCGATGGACCAGTTCACGGAGGAACGATAAGTGGAGCACAGAAGCACCTATCAGAACATCGGCACATTGTTAATGCATTAGATGTTAATGATCGCCCGCGGCCGTCTCAGATCCCAGATGTAATGTTTACAAAAGAAGATGCAAAGGGAATAGTTTTTCCCCATGACGATCCCCTAGTCGTGATAATAAAAATCAACGGGGCCGATGTGAAGAGGAGTTAGTTGATGGGGGAAGTTCAGCAAATGTTTTGTTCATGAAGGCGTTCAATGAGTTGATGATAGGCCGACAATAGCTAATGCAGTGTCTTACCTAGTGGTTGGGTTTAACGGCTCGACAGTAAGGCCAGAAGGGAGTGAAGGGGCCTTTTGCTCTTGAGTATCGGCCCTAGAACGCTTAGAAGTTGGTTCGTCCTTCATTCTTGTTGAAACGGCAGCGACACTACCACCGCTTCTATTACCTAGTGAAGTAAGACACCGATTTCTTCTTACGTTCTCATCATCCATCTCCTATGCTCTTTTTTTAGGATTACGGGTAGGGGCACGTGAACAAAAAGAAGAAAAGGTTTCCAAAGCTGGTCTAGGAGATGGGGGACAGCGGGAAATCACCCTTTTTCCGTCAGATGATAAGCCGAGAGCTTCCTTGTCTAGGTTCTTTGGACCTACATATACCGAGAATCGTTAATAAATACAAAGGCTGATAAGTGTGCAATAAAAATAATATATATATATATATATATATATATATATATATATATATATATATATATATATATATATATATATAAATTAATAGTAGCAAAGTGTAAGCAACTAAAGGACAATAATAATATGTAAGGCTAGTACCATAGGATCAGTCCATCATAGACCAATATACGATAGCGGTGCGTTGCTCGAAATATATTTAACATTTGGCACCCACACTTTGGGAACAACCTGAGTCTTTCCCCAGTCGACATTTACCCTAACGACATCAAAATAATCAAAGGCCTTTTGCTCTTGGGGGCCAAGATCTCTTTTGGCAATATGACCGAAACGAGGATGAGGCCGAAAGAAAGTTTTTCGGATAGGAAAATATTCTGGAACACTCATAAAAAAGAATTTATCTTGCCAGCCTTTGCAGCTTGTCAATTTCGGATTTACAGTAAATTTATGGGAGGCTGTATACAATGACTACCAACCTTCCGATTGTCCATCACGTTTCAAGGTTATTAACCTCCTAAATAAATTCAATGTTAATGGGAAATTTTTAAATAACAAAACCCAGGAAAGTGCAACAACAGCACGAACAGTAGGAGGAGTAACTTGTACCTAGCATACATTCCAAGCCCTAAAAATTTTAGCAATAAAGGGATTAAGGGGAAATCGGAGGCCAAATTCAAAGTGTTTGGCGTAGATAGCAACATGACCATCAGGACAATCAAGAACGGTAGCAGAGGGTGGCGGAAGAGTTAACTCATACCCCTCTGGTAGACGATATAATCTTTTTGCTTTTCGGCAGTAATCCTTTTCCTCGGCAAGTTGTAGCCAACTACCGCTAACACTAGCTTCAGCAACCAAACTGTTAGAAGGCAAAATAAGAGGTTGCCGATAATCAGCCTCATCGGTCTCAGAGTTATACTCCTCGTCCAAGATTTCCTCATTCGTCACTTGAGCCATGTGGTCAATCATCTCAGATCTTTCAGGGATTTCGACATTGTCACCCTGGTTTACCTCTTCTTCGCTATCGTCTTCATCGTTTAATACAGATTTAACAGCAGAATCGTGAACATGAGATTTTGAACCCTTTTCGGACTCAGAGCTTGAAGAACTTATAACCTGTGCCTGCCCATGCCTCTTGTTGGGCTCAGGCCTAGAACTTGGTTCAAACCTAGCACTAGGCTCTGCTGTATCATCTGCAGCCTGAGGCTGATAACCAGTTGACTTAGCTCTTGGCATAGTTGAAGTTTTAATATGAATATTTCCAACACTGGTTCCGTATTGATCAAAATCAGGTTTGTCGGCAAAGCTTCGTAAATGATATCGGACACTCATGGGTTCAATATCAAGAATTTCAATGTCCTCAGGAATATTAGGGTTCGTAGGGCGTCGTGCCCTTTCACAATCTGCCAATACGACCTCCTTTTGCTCTTTCTCTGATAACGGCTGAAAAGGGTCGTCAATATTATCAGATAGAGATGAAGTTCCCCTTTTATTATGGCCGAGATCTTTTCCCAAAGACTGTCTAATAAGACAACGCCTAACAGTACAAAGAGTAGGTTGTTCTTCCTCGACACTACTATTGGACATCTAATAAACCAACTAAGAAACTAAAAAATAGACAGCAGCGAATGTATTCTAAAACATGCAAATTGAAATTGAAATATTTAAAATACATTAAACTACTCGATTACAGCAATAGCGCAAAGAAGAATTGCTTGCGCTTCAACAAAACGACAAGTCCGGCAAAACCCAATTGCTTCCACAAGTTGCGACGATCGAATAAAGATTGCGGTTTTCTCTCAGAAAAATTGCTTTAAAAAAAACTAATTTTTTATGAGAAAAGCGTGAAAATGTGAAGTAAAAAAAATAAGGGGTTAAAAAGGAAGTTGAAAAGGTAACATTTGACATGACACACTGTCAGAAATCCAACGGCCAAAGTAACTTGGGAATTTGAAAAATAATTCGTCGGATTAGCGACACGTGACCTATATTTATATAATTTTCCCGCTCAAAAGTTTAAGTGGCACATATTCAAACATTCAACTGCCAACCCTGTATTTAAAGTAAACCTTGTTTGCTATCAGCAAACAAGGTTACTTTGGGGGAAAAACGGAGATTTTTTCGCTCCCACCCAAATTGTATTTAAAGTAAACCTTGTTTGCTAACGGCAAACAAGGTTAATTGGGGGGAAAATGGAGTTTTTTCGCTCCCACCCAAATTATATTTAAAGTAAACCTTGTTTGCTAACAACAAACAAGGTTACTTGGGGGGAAAAACGGAGTTTTTTCGCTCCCACCCAAATTGTATTTAAAGTAAACCTTGTTTGCTAACGGCAAACAAAGTTACTTTGGGGGAAAACGGAGTTTTTTCGCTCCTACCCAAATTGTATTTAAAGTAAACCTTGTTTGCTAATGGCAAACAAGGTTACTTGGGGGGAAAACGGAGTTTTTTCGCTCCCACCCAAATTGTATTTAAAGTAAACCTTGTTTGCTAACGGCAAATAAGGTTACTTTGGGGGAAAAACGGAGTTTTTTCGCTCCCATCCAAATTGTATTTAAAGTAAATCTTGTTTGCTAACGGCAAACAAGGTTACTTGGGGGAAAACGGAGTTTTTTTCGCTCCCACCCAAATTATATTTAAAGTAAACCGTGTTTGCTAACGGCAAACAAGGTTACTTGGGGGGGAAAACGGAGTTTTTTCGCTCCCACCCAAATTGTATTTAAAGTAAACCTTGTTTGCTAACGGAAAACAAGGTTACTTGGGGAGAAAAACAGAGTTTTTTCGCTCCCACCCAAATTATATTTAAAGTAAACCTTGTTTGCTAATGGCAAACAAGGTAACTTGGGGGGGGGGGGGGAACGGAGTTTTTTCGCACCCACCCAATTTATATATAAAGTATGTCAAGTGAACCTTGTTTGCTAACGGCAAATAAGGTTACTTGGGGGGAAAACCGGAGATTTTTCGCCAATACCTTTCGAATGTTCATTTTCTATCGGTAATAATTTACATACCCATGATATTTACTTTCCACATAAAACACAATATACAAGAAGTCATCCTAAATATTCACGTACACCAATAACAAAAAAAAAATGCTCAACAGAGAGCAAGAAAAAAGTGTAATAAAAATCTTAAAAAACATTTGCAAATATACAATACATCAAAGTGAGAACGTCAATTGTATATTCAACGTACTCACTTGGGGGGCTAGTTGTATGGGTAGATATTTACATTAGACAGATGTTGTATGGTAGGCCGATATTTTACTTGGATCCGGTTCATCAGCTATTCTGGTTCATATCGGCATTTATGGAATGAGTGTGCATATTGGCTTGTCGACGATTGACACGTGTCGTCCTCAAATTTGACACGTGGCGAAAATTACTTTGCATATTACGCAGCCACTTGTCACTTAATCAAGCTATAAATAATGAGGTTTTATCTCATAAGAAAGGTAGCATTTATTACACACTCTCTCTCTTCTTTCTCTCTCTAAATTCTCTCTCTTCTTTTCATCTTCTAAACACTTACTGACTTAATCATCGGAGTGGTTATCCCTGGATTCACCCGGGGCTAGCTAATCTCTTTTCTGTGTGTAGGTTCTCATCTGGCCGATAGGAGCAAAGCGGGTTATATACTCGAGCTTTGGATCTTGGAGTTGGGTCATCGGATCTTTGCAGACACAGTATTATACTATTATTATTCATCACTCCATCTACCATACTGATACTGAATATATTTATTTAAAGCAACATCTTTAATTAATCCCGGACTCCTACAGTGAAATGGTTAAACGTGATTCATCAACGGAATCTAAGTTTTCCATTAAACAATCAAAGATTATATTTTTAAAAATTACAAACTAAACTTTAATAAAAGATACACGTTGCTTTATTCTTTAAAAATGCTATAAAAACGTGAGTATGTAAACTACAAAAACTATACACACAAATACATTCTCAGATTTCTCATTTCTGAACTAACTAAAACTCGAAAGTGTATTGTGTTTATAGGCTTATAGCCACCTTGGCGTAAGCCCCGAATCGAGTACGAGCGACCCCCATGGACGACTATGATAATTTCAGTAGCTTCTATTCGCTATTTGATAATTCTGCTCTCTTCAAACAGATTGAGCAGCTTCACCAACCTGATGCTGATCATATTTACACCATACCTCTGTATAATCTTATTGGGAATATGCTCCGGCTCAGTAATGCTTCCTATACTGTAACACCGGTTTTAGAGGTATCACGTTTATATTATAACTAATTGTTTTTCTAAATTTTGTAGGAATACATCAAATTTGCATGTTTATTACTGATATCTGTTTCTGATCTTCGTATAGGATTATCCGGAGGACCGAGTTTTTGACGACATTAATCGTTTATCTCCATTCATAATTGAAAGGATTTCTGCTGAGGTACCCTTTTTTTTTTTTTTTTTTTTTTTTTTTTTTTTTTATTTTGGGTGGGAAGGGGAGATAATAAACAAAAGTTAGGAGACTTTTTAATATGATTGAACTCTATATTTAAATATGATGATTGAACTCTAAACTACCTTATATATGTAATACAAGCTTTTTTTTTCTTTTTTTTTAAAAACAAAAAATTTATATAGGCAATGTGTGCTAATTTAAGTAATTAACAATTTTTTTTTTTTTTGAAACAAAGTAATTAACATTATTAGTTTAAAACAATATAATAATTAAATATCTAAATTTAATGTGTTAAAATAAAGATACTGATGATTGAATATTAGAAAGTTTAAAGTAAAACAATATTAATACATGCAATTATAGTAATGTGATGTTATTCAATTATCATGGAGTTTATATGTAGTTAGTAGTAATAATTTTAGAAATTGAGTAATTAATATTAAATTTGTAGTCTTGTAGATGAGAAGATTTATCAATAAAGAATGTAATCTTGTTGTAATAAGGAAAATTTTGAATGAACTGATTATAAGATTGATTTGTTAAAATCACTAATTTATACTTCAATAGTACTGTATAATTTTGAAGTATTGATTCAAAATTGTGTTATAGTCTAAGGGGAGGACAAAAATTTTTCTAGGCTGACACCACATAATAGAAGTGAATTCACACTAGGTTACGTACTAGCTCTACACGCGCTTAATTACCTATCTGTGACGACTAAATAAGAAAACATCTAATAATTGTGCTTAATTTAAAATACAAAGCTAGTAGATTGCAAGGGAAAAATCATATAATATAATTACAGCAGAAAAATGGATTTGAGATTAATGTAAAAGATCAAAGTAAGCCGCCTAAAGTTTATACTGTCTTTAATCTTACAAGATTTCTCATATAAAATCGTCATAGATTTTCATTTTTCGGACGAAAGGTTAAAATAAATATATAGTTAATCATGTCTAAACATGTGATAATAATTTTAATTTTATTCATGTGACTTTGGTGATACATTCTCGTTAGATATTGTTAATCATGTCTAAACAATGTCACAATGTGTTGTTTTTTTAATTTTGTCACTTTACTTTATCTTGTTTTCAAAATAATATTTATATTTTGCAACTCAGAGTATTAATTATTTTATCCACTTTTCCAATAGCTTGATTAAAATCTTCTCAAATACTGCACCAACATTATTTTAAATCTAAGCAATTTTTGAAGTTCAAATGTTAGACACTAACATTATGTACATACACTTTATCCTTTCTTCTAATATTTCATCACATCGTAGGGAACAAAGATTTTTTGTTGTGGGAAAAAGAAAGAGAGAGAAGAAAAAAAAATGTGATACATTGCATAAACTAGTAGAGGTTTTGACAATAATAACCACCAACAATTGTTGGTGTTTTTTGTAATAACCACCATCAATTTTTTTATTGAAATTTATCACCTATTTTTTTTCAAATCAATAAGACTTTCCTAACACTTCTTGGTGGGAAATTTTACAATTTTCATAAAATGTAGGTGGTAAAATTTAGTGTTTTGGAAAACCGTGGGTGGTAAATTTTAAAGAATCACCCACAATTGATGGTGGTTATTGTCAAAAAAATCCTAATTTAAAGCTAAGAAACAAGCAAGTGTTTAAAAGTAAGGCTGTTTTGAATATTTGCCATGCAAATGAAGTAGGTATTTGTTTGCCTAAATGGGTATGGTGAAGTATTTGTTTAACATTCTTAAAAGGCAAAGACAAGTGCTAAACTATTAATAGAAGGGAGGAAATTAATATATCCACACAATTAGTTAATGGTGTAGCCACTTTGCATAAAAGTTTAATTTCTAATTAAGCAACTTGGGTTACGCAATGATCTGATGGGTTACTTTGTGATTGAGGGGTTATTTGTAATGGCGAAATGAAATTACTTTTATAAACAAGTGGAATTAATTCGTTCATTTAATTGCCCCACTTTAATTTAGTTAAAGAAATTTGCTATCATAAAACATTTTTATATCGTGGTCAGTTGATCAAAGGTGACATTTTTCTTGAACTACTAAGGGTGGTTTGGTTGGATTTGGAATGGAGTTAGAATCCATTCCATCCAGTTTTTAATTTGGTTGAGTTTATTAGTAATGGAATCTCATATTCAAAAGACTCTAACTCTATCCCATACATGGATTCCCAATTCATTCTATTAATGAAGAATACAACCCATTCCACATTAACAACTTTAAACTAGTATCGGTTTTAGAATCAACACCTTTCTAGTATGAAATATAATGAACCAAACACCCTCGTATTATATAGAAACATCCTGATTTAAAGACATACATACACAATATGTCAATATGTCGACTGTTTTCTGAATACAACACCTAAAAAACTGGCGCAGATTCAGTTAAATAGCGAGGTCAGTAACAGCAGCGTACACGATACAACCCTCAAAGTGTTGAAGATTTTGCATAACTTTTCTTGGGATGTCAAGGTGGTGATCGCAGTCGCAGCAGCTGCTTTGATTTGTGGATCCTCATGGCTCCGCGATCAACTTAAAGATTCAAACTCCCTTGCAATTGCACTGACACAATTCAGGGAACAGCTAAGGGTGGATGAAGGCGCTGACAAAAACCAGTTTGATGCTAATGTTAAATTATTAACCGAAGCATTAGAAGCCACCAAGTGCATTCTTGATTTTGGAGAGCTAGCAAATATAACTAATATCCAAGATCCTGATGCCGAGAAAGAGGTCAAGGATGTAATGAGGGATTTTCCTATAGCTGCTTATTTGGTAATAAGAAGTGCGGTTCTTGCTGTAGCACATACGGCAAACATGTCATATGAGTAAGTAAACTCACTATGCAGTTATACGATGTGTAATGGAAGAATATAATCAAGAATATGAGACTTTCTCATAGATTTTTTCTTTTGTTTTTGCCAGTTTAATATCAGCCACAGCTCAATTGAAAAAGCTTGAAGAGATCAGCTTTATGCTCAAGACAGGAAATTCTAAATTGGAAAAGCTTAGAAGTGAGATTTCTATCACATTTATAATTTGTTATCCCGGAGTAATACCTAAAAATATATATATTTAGCTCTAGTGACATGCATTGTTTTCTTTACAGAGGACGCAAAGCTAATTGAAGAATATAATGAGATCAAGAAAATCATCAAAATGTCGCATTTGGACAACATGAAAATCCTCAAGACCTTGATCGATAAAATAAATGATCGTCCACTATATGACGGTCGCGTAGAAAAACCTGATGAAACGAAAATGGATTGTGCTCGAAGCTTCAGTCTGGAATTCCGGGATGTAGAGATTTTGAGGGGTAAAACTGTGCTATTACTCCTATCCCGCCTTGATATCACTCCTGCAGAGCTGCGCATTCTCAAGGAAAGTTACGGAGAATCGAAAGCCCTCGAATATGAGATTGTCTGGATCCCTGTCGTTGGCACACAAAACCCAGATGAATGGGATATTATGAATCAGAAGTTTCGAAAATTAAGAGACTCAATGCCCTGGTACTCTATTCATGATTTTACAGTGACCGGAGATGCACTCATCAAGTTCTTTAAAGATGATTGAAACTTTCATGGTAAGCCTATGGTTGTAGTGCTAGATCCTCGGGGAAAAATTGTGAACTCAAATGCTATCCATATGATGTGGATCTGGAAAAATCAAGCTTTCCCGTTTAATTGCGCAAGGGAGGAGGTGCTTTGGGAGCAGGAAACATGGAGTCTTGAACTGCTTGTTGATGCTATTGATCAAAATATTCTGCAATGGGTATTTTTCGTTCACTATTTTACAAAACTTTATGAAAATTTTAGATTCTCTCAAGTAAGATTGCATAACTGATCCTCATCGATTGAATGTTGCTTATCAGATCAGAGAAGAAAAGTACATTCTCTTGTATGGAGGCGACGACCTGGAATGGATCAGACAATTCACTAATGAGGCACGAGCTGTAGCGCGAACCCTGCGAATTCCTCTTGAAATGGTCTATGTTGGCGGGAGCCATAACAAGGAGAACGTGCAGAGGATTTGTGATTCTATAATAATGGAGCAGCTGAGCCACTGCTGGCAAGAACAGGACTCTGTTTGGTATTTCTGGACAAGAATCGAGAGCATGATCTACTCAAAAATCCAACTAGGTAACCTTTATGACCATGCTGATACCATATGGCAAGAGATACAAAAGCTCCATAGTCATGACAAATCACACAGCGGATGGGTAGTGCTAGCCAAAGGCTCGAGAATTGTTGTCCACGGCCAAAATAAGGTGGCCATGAATACCCTTCAAGAGTTGGAGGAGTGGAAGAAACTAGCTATAACAGACGGATTTGATGTGGGGTTCGGAAATCATTACATGAAGCTTCATATGGAGGAATATCCATGTCATAGGATTCAGTTTCCCTCTGGTATGAGAATTCCAAGAAGTATGCCATGCCCTGATTGTTCTCGCCCTATGCATATAAATAAATCTTTCCTCTGCTGCCATGAAGATCACATTGCTGAAGCTGCCGATGTTCTCGCTGCTGCAACTGATCAGGTTGATCAATATGAGGCCTAAATATATAAAATATTTAAGGGATTTTTAACTTTTCTTAAATTTATATACTACGTGTGAGCATTACTATAATAAATCCCTTAGAGGAGATGTGATACATTTGCATTGATATATATATATATCATGTTATTGCAAGTGGGTTAGTTCAATCGTGTACTTGAATTTCATGTGTTAATTTAAGGCATTCTTCATTTTAATATTACTCTCCTTGTCTTAAATTATTTTTTACACAATAATTCTTATTTTTCATTTATCAATTAATATTCACAAGTCACAATAAATATTATTTTAATGCCGAAAAGTGAAATTATGATTGATATATGACATTTCTTGGTTAAAAAGTTTTCCACCTATTTTATTTAGGAAAAATTAAATAATCCTTCCTCTGTCCCCTTTTTACATTCCTGCTTTCTTTTTTGGGTATTTCAAAATTATATTCCTACTTTTTTCTTTTTTAGTAAGTAAATTTTTACTAAATATCCCAAATTATCCCTATTTTTCTATTTTCTCACTCTTATTTCCTAATTTTCACTCTTATTTTCATAATCCATGTGCATTAATTTAGATGAATATGATTGGTCATTTTTTTCAACCAACAAATGTTATTGATTTTTTTTCTTTTCAAAGGATTGATGATATGTGTAGCATTATTATATATTATTCTATCTTTATTTTACTCAAAGACATCAATTAATGGCTTGTAATTCCCATTGTACTTTGTTTTATTCCAAGTTCCTTAATTCTTGTGTAATTTTACAAATAGGAATGTAAAAAAGGGACGGAGGGAGTCCTAATTTTGAATTATGCTAGAATAATCTCAACTTAGGGGGCTGATTACTTTTTTTCATGCCCACATTGGTCAACAAAAATCAATGACAATACTTGAAACATGTCGAGTCCTGATTTGTCTAAAAAAACTTTTAAAAAGTAAACATAATGAAGCCACCCTTTCAATTCCCTCACCGCAAGCCAGGCCACCAGTCCACCTTCCCACTCCCAAGCCAGTTGCTCATCCTTGCCGGTCTGCCGCCCCTCCCCCACCTCTAACGTCGCCGTTTTCCCCCTTCCCCAAAACCCCCTTCCATTCCCTCACTCCCAAATACCCCAAATCGCAAATTGCTCGTCCCCTTATAACCACCTCCCCTAATCCCAAAAACCCAAACCATTCCTCCTTCGATCCCACCTCAAAATCCTAGTAGATAGGTTTTTTTATGATGGGGGATAGAGCTATCAAAAGCTGACCCGACCTGAAATACCGACCCTAACCTGACCTATTAACTGACCCTTCTAAACCCAAAAAAATGGTGACCCGAACCCGGCCTAACCGGACTTGAAACCAACCCTAGACCCGAGTTGACCCGAGTATTTGAGACCCGAACCCGAACATTAACCGACCTAGTGACGACCCGACCCGAATCCGACTCGCATTTCAACCCGACTTGTTATTGAATCAATATGTATAGGTTGTTATCTCATGTTGGTATTGGAACGAAAACTGAATCCTAACTCTATTCCTTCAATATTTCACTTTGAATTTTAAGAGGTTAGTTTCACAACATGTTTTTAGGGACGAATTTTAGGGACGAAACATGTTTTCCGCAAATTATTGGCTAGAACTGAACCCGACTCGAACTCGAGAATGATCCGACTTGGAAATTACCCGACTTAATTATAGCCCGCAAATTATTGACTTGAACCGAACCCAACTTGAACCCGAGAATGACCCGAACTGATTATAACCCGTAAGTAATTGACTTGAACCGAACCCGACTTGAACCCGAGAACGACCCTAACTCGTTTAAACCCGTAAAGACCCGAATTTAACCCGACCTATTTTTCACCAAACCCGAATGTAACCCGACCTTTTACTAACCCGACGTAAACCCAACCAAAACCCGATAAGATGTATGACCCGACGTGACCCGACTCAAGCATGACCCAATCCGAACCCGACTCGCATATATTATGACATTAACCCGTATTGACCCGACTCGAGATGACCCGACTCACACTAACCCAACCCGTTTACTCGAATTGACAGCTCTAATGAGGGAGGTGTGTTTGGGGATTTTTGGGAGTGATAGGGGAGGTGATTTTTAAGGGAGTTTTGGGTTTTCTTGGTGGTTGGGATTGTGGGGGAGAGCCGACAAAGGAGAGTCTTAAAAGGTTAACGAGATGAAGGGTGGTGGGTCGAGCCGGAGGAGAAACAAGCGCAGGGGAAGAGATAACTAAGGGCGGGCAGCATCAAGGGGGTGGCAGGTCAGTGGCTGGCGTCAAAGAGGTTTGGCAGGGTGACATTTGGAAAAAAAAAACCATTCAATTGGTCAACGATAATTAAGAATGAAGAAAGTAATCAACCCTAGAGTTGAGATTATTTCAAATTAATCCAAAGTTAAGATTATCAAAAGAAAATAGAACAAAATTGGAATTATTAATATCAAATTTTCCTTTTATTTTTTCCCAAATGTACTTGAAAACCTTTTTTAACCTATGATGTTCTCCTGTGGGCCTAATAAGACTATTTATGGGGTTTGACTTTGTTTTGATCTTGCTGGTTAAAATTATGCTAAAGTTTATTTATATTAGCTAGATATTACTATATTAAAAAAAAAATAGGTTAACTAAAAAGATAATTTTTGAAATTATTATTCAAACAAAATCCAATGAACCAACAAACTTGGTCAAATTACTTATAATAAATAGATACTACCTTTACAGATCATGTGCAACTTTCATACTTGTATACTCTTTGAGAGTTATAATAAAATTTCAAAGTTACACATAATATGTAATGAAGGTAGTTTTTTTTGTTTTGTTTTTTTTTTTTAATATAACCATAGAAAAGAGAGGAAAAATAGAGGAATATCAATTATACAATACACTCGAGAACAAGCCCAGTCAAAACTTGGTTAAAACTTGTTCATTATTAAATAAATGACTTTATTCAAAGAATTTAATATTGTTAAATAAACGAGCTCAACTCAATTAATGACTGTTTGCTCTACTTGTTTAAGTTGGCTAACAACTCGTTTATGTTGTTATTAGATAAGATTTTTCGTTTATCAATTTGTTTTCACTCTTTCAAATGCTCAAATTGTAAAAGGAAAATTTATCAATTGCTTCCATTTAATGTTTGTATTTTGCAAATTGCAGCCAATTAAAAAAATATTGCAAATTGCAACCATCCAAAAGTACTAATGACTTAATGTATGCCATCCAAATCAATTTTTTCCTGAATTTACGTGGTGAAAAATTTTGTGTAAAGGTTTTAGGGGATATTTTTTTATCCGTTTAAGATCCGAATTTAGCTCGGAATTGGCAAACATATATTGTAAGTTATTATTGATTTCAACTAGTTTGTGCTAGTGCATTTAAATATTTAATTGGGTGATAATTTTTTATACTAGATTTATATAGAGTCAAGCAAAAATATTTGAAAATACGGAAATTTAATAATCTGATCCGCAACTGATCCAAAAATTATGGATATCCGATGCAAAAAATTTGAATATTGGATTAGACATCGAATATCCAAATTTTTGATTTCGGATATCTGATATTTAAAAAATATCACTTATTATCATATTGTACTCATTACTAATTTTTTTTAGAAAGTCCTATAGTGCCAAACCCTAATAGGCCTAAGATTAATAGGCTCAAAGTCAAAACAAAGGAAAGTTTTTTTTTATATTTTTTTATATTTTTTTTTGAAAAGTTAAAACAGAGGAAGTTAACCCACTGTACTTAGAGAACTACTTTTCCTTCTAGCTCTAAAACAACAGGAGAAAACCAATATCATCATATTGTGAGAAGAGGATTTGTTGGGGCTTGCAGCAGACTCCAATGGGATCAACTGTAAGTGGCACCAACGTACTTTCACACGATGACACTTGATCGACCATACCTATTGTCAAATATTCTTGCGTCAAATTTGGACTTGTTTAACACTTATCATGTCCTTTTCACTGGAGGGGTGACTAATCTACATCGGTGTATAAACTTCTTGATTTTTAACACTATCCTTCTGCATTGTAGAATTGAGTACTCGGATGTTAATTAAATCCTTCCTAGAGGAGTAGTAGTAGACTAGTAGTGTAGTGTTCATCCCTTAGAAATCGCTCCATACATTGTTGGAGTGAAATGCAAATAGGAATAATCAATACGATTTCGGTTACAAAAATGATAACTTGACCCTGTATGATTTGAGTTTTTTGTTTCTAAAGTTGAATCAAATCAAAATTTCAATTAATAATGTCGGGACTTTAATCTTTATCGATAGGGTCGACTTTACTCGGTAAAATACCCCGTATTTTTATATGTAATTTACTTTAAAAAAGTATTTTGTAAATTATTTAAATAATTCAAAATGAATTATTTATGGCATTTTAATTTTATTTAAAAATTTTGAAAATGCTTTATTTTATTAGTTGAAATATAGTTTTGGACATGTGATTTTGAAAGGAAAATTTTAAAGTTAAAATAAAAAATAAGTTTGAATAGGAAAGGAATTGAAGTATAGGAGGGTAGGTTTCTAGATAAAAAGGGTATAAATATTCAACACATGGGAAATTGAACTTTGCATAGAGTGGAGAATACCCAAAGATAAGTTGTTTTCTCTCTCCTCTTATTTTCAATTTCTCTCTCTTAATTTCTCCTTTCCACCACCACCACCATCATCGGTGGCCGACTGCCATTACCACAGCCAGCGGCCGCCACCCACCAGCACAGCACGGAAACAACAGCAGCTGTGAGGGAGGTGGCGCCGACCACTGTCCCCCTTCTTCTCTTTTTTCAAGCATCATAAAAAAAAAATTATTCTTTTTTTTTAATCCTTCATCTAATTATTAATTATGGGTTTTGTGATGATTTTCATGATGTTTGATTATAAGTATTATGCAAATAAACTTTTAGATTTGATTTTTAATTAAAAAGCCCAAATTGAAAACCCTAGGTTTCTAAATTATTGCATACTAAAGGAATTTGATTATGAGTGGTTTAAATCTTTGATTTGCCCTGGGTGTTATAAATCATATTTACAACAAGTTTTGATGATTTAATAAAGCTGGAAATTTTGTTAGTAAGCCATAATTGAGTTTCTTGAAGGGGTTTTTTTTTATTACCCAATAATTGAGATTAAAGTTAGGGGTTTAA